TACTGGGGAGGCTCAGACTTTAGCTAGTCCGCCACGACAGATTACTACCTCACGCGCACATCATGGGCATCTCAGCTCTGTGTGAATGAAGAGAGAAAATAGGAACCGTTCATCCACACACTGCCCACCCCACGCTCTGCTCCATGCAGCGTGAAACGATCCCGCAGAGCAGATTGAGTGTGGGGCGGGTTCAGTCTGACATGCAGGTAATTTAGTTGACTCTAATTGGGCTCCTCAGACTGTGGTGACTCTACAGGTGGAGAAGCTGCTGTAGAGCAGTGGTGAGAAGGTGCAGGAAGGACAGCAGCTCCACTATTCAAATTCTGCACTTTACAATTTTCCCAAACTGAGAATAACCAAAACCAACGTATCTAGTGGGAAGGTGGATGCAGAGCAGTAAAACTGGCGATGCCCAGATCTCCTATGGGGGTGACGTGGAAATTAATAATGTTGTGAGGATCATTTGGAAAATTAGCCGTTCCTGACAAGGTTTATCTCTGTTCTAATTTCAAGTTTATAGTATTATTTAGAGGAATCAGTAATTATTTTTTCTATCTTAATTAAACCCTAAACTTTATGTAATCAAACCATGACAATTAAGGCCCCCCGTTTTTTCTCTCTCATAGCAAGAATGAACTAGTTTTATTCAATCCCTGACATTCTATGAAATAACAGCTGCAGCATGAGGAAAGAGCCGAACCAATATCTCACTGTGGGGGATGCAGGTGGCCATGTCCCCTCTGTTTGACCATTGCCCTTGCAGGAGTGAATGTTTCAATGCAATTCAATACCCTGGCTCAGACAAGAGACCCAGAGAGGTTTTGCTGTTCATGGATCTGTGCAAAGGAAATTATTTGTGTGTGTGAAATTGAGGCAGGACATGAAACATCCACATGGTGGCACAATGCCCTAAGGAATGTGGGTGAAGGACTCAGGCTGAGAACTGAATTAACTCCACTCACTGGCCACCCTCCACTCCGGGATGGTACCCCTCTTCACGTCACTAGGCCTTGCTGCCCAGCAAAGAGAGTAGCCTTATTGACTTTGGCTGCTAGACCTCGCTGCCCTGCAAAGAAGGGTGACCCCGTTGACTCTAGCCCTTAGCACTCGCTGCCTAGAGTCAGAGGGCTGCTCAAAGGATTGAGTGCCCTCACCCCACACTGGACGGGGTCCCTCCACTCCGTTACAGGGAGCCAAATTTTAGTGTAGACACACGCACAAAGGTTGCCTTGTATTGACATAACACCGCAGTGTAGATCTGGGGAGAGTGTGTGTGTGTGTGTGTGTGTGGGGGGAGAACCTTCAGCTAAAGGGGGGAAAGCGTCTTCCCAAGACTGCCATTTCTGCTCCTTCTGCATCGTCCCTGGGGCAGGAGTCGACCTCAGGAAAGTTTCCTTTTCAAGGGATCAATAATAAAATTGGTGAAAGTTCAAAATCAACATGGCCTGACATCAGAATGCCAATGCCCTAACCCGGAACGAACAATAATGGTCTGGCATCTTGAATCCAATGCCCAGGGCTAGGCTGCAGCTGCTTTGCAACAGTATTTCACAAGGCGAAGAAGATCGGGTAATTGGATGATTATTTAGTAGCTTGGGGGTCCATTTCCATTTCCTATTCCGTTCACACAAAAGTGTCTGATTTCCCAGATCATTTAAATGTTCCGACCTGCGGCTGGCGCTCCCCTCCGCCCCTTGTTACCAACCAGGGCTGGAATGTTTCACATGGACACTGTCGGGAGGAAACATGGGCATAGGCTCCACCAGCAGCCAAGCTCACCTCCTCCCACCACTGCAGCACTACAGGACCCACCAGACCCTACTGGATGTGTCCTTCCAGTTTGACAGTGAACCATCGCTAGTTGCTCTCTGACTGCAGCCTTTCAAGCCGTTGTGCACCCTCCCTATAGTCCTTTCATCTAGACCACATTTTCCAAGTTTGCTTATGAGACCATCATGTGGGACTGTGAAAACCCTTTACTGAAATCAAGAAATATCACATCTAATGTTTCCCCCCTGCCCACTAGGCTGCTAACCTTGTCAAGGGAGGAACTTAGGTTGGTTTGGCATGATTTCTTCTTGACAAATCCTTCCTAGCTTTAATTTATAACCCTACAAGTCTCAATTGATAGTTTAACCAGTTCTTCCATTCTCTTTCCCAGGATCGATGATTGGCTTGACAGGTCTTTAATTCCCAAGGTCACTCTTTAAAAAGGGAACAATGTTTCCTCTTCTCCAGTCCTTTGGGACCTTACCTGTGCTACACCATGAGTTCTCGAAGATAACCACTAATGGGTCCAAGATTGCTTCAGCTGGTTCCTTATGTTCCTAAAGCATGTAGTGCCCCCAGCGGGGCAGAGGCTGGGGCAGGGAAGCAGCCCGGTTTGGGCTGGGAAGAGGATGGTAGTTCTGGTGCTCAGAGAACTGGCCACAAAATGTCAATTCTACCCACTGTGAAAAATCAGCGTGGAGCTAAGGGCAGAGCTGGGGTTTCTGCTTTCACTCCTGCTGTGGCATGCAGGGAACTCAGGGGCAATTCTAGAAGAGCATTTGGAACTGAATTGGGGAAACCAGCCTTTCATCACAGGCAGCTCAAGTTTAGATGAACTGTTTTTGTTTTGTTTTGTTTTATTTTGTTTTTTTACAATTGATTATAACACTAAATAGTCCTTCAATCCTAGTGTCACAATCCATGAAATTGCTTCAACCTTGTAGTTTGCCCAGGGTGAAACTGAACATCACTTCAAATACAAGTGAGTGGAGATCAATCACTTTTCAAGAGTGACTGCGCATAGAAGACGCGTATTGTGTTTCATTCCTTATGTCCTCGCGCCATCGTGTGGCCATCTCCTTTTCCCACCTTTCTGTAAAAAGTTTTGGTAGTTGGTCCAGAAACTTGATTTCCCCAGGAAAGATGCAGGAACAGGGGCTGCCTGCATGTACCAAACACCCATAGAATGAGGCATCCGTCCTTGTCCAAAAAAATCATCTCCCTCCTTCAGTTCAGTGGCAGCCACAACATGAAACCCCTCTGTACCGAGCAGGAAGGAACACAAACATTTTCTTTTAAAAGGAGCAGCCTCCTTCCTTTTTAAGTCAGATAAATTTATCTTCATTTGCCATCTCTTAGGGGAGGAGTGGAGCTGGGTCCAACTCCTGCCGGGATAGAGAGCCCCTCTCCCTATTGTTCAGTCAGTCTGGGACCCTGCCTCTGCCCAGACCTAACGTGCTGCCACCACTCAAACCCACCCTGCTCATTAGCTCTGTGGCTGTGTCTGCTTTGCTTGCACAGTTCATACCTACGTGACACACTCTTTTACAAGGGCATTGGTGGTATAGTGGTGAGCATAGCTGCCTTCCAAGCAGTTGACCCGGGTTCGATTCCTGGCCAATGCAATGTTGTGTTTTGTCCCCCTTGCTTGAAATTGGTCTCATTTCAGTCACCCTGTGTTATCATCACATTGTTTTACGAGAAACTGCTCCCTGTAGGAATTTGCTACTGATAGCAGTTACTCCTATTTAAGGGACAACCAGTGGGGCCATTGAACGATCAAGGTGCTAAAGGAGCACTCAAGGACTATAGGTTTTGGAAAAAATCAATCAATTAAACAGCAATAAGTCACCAGGGCCAGATGGTCTCACCCAAGAGTTCTGAGGGCACTCAAATGCGAA